ACATCTTGTTTCATTACATCTCTTTTAACGAATCAGCTTCTTTGAACGTGTTCGTTGAATGAACGGTTCAAAGTCCGTTGTCATAACAATATGCGCGCTGAGTGAAAGCCTTTCAATCATGCTTTCAATGCGCATATAGACGCTGTTTAGTTTCGGTTATTGGTTAAATGACCCTGTTTTTGTCCACATCGTACACTTTATTTATATAGCAACAAATACTTATAAATTAAATAAATAAATAAATGGCGGTAATACCGCATATCGCGCTATTGAGCCACTCAACATTACCGCAAGGGAAATTCCATAACCGCGACAGCCCTACACGAAGTGAACTGTCTTTATAAAGTATCTTCTTTTTAAACGGTCTGTACACTTACAAAGTTCTCAATGCTTCGTTTTGCATGTATGGACCCTCATTATGTTACTGTGTGAGTGTGGGGCTATTTTGAGCCTTGTTAGTGGTATAAACTAGCGATTTATTTTTACTTAGTCAATGTCCCCATTACTAGCATCATGCGCTAAATATTTTTTAGAGATAAAACTCTTTACATTCGATTATCATGAAAACAAATCTCAGACAACGATTGACTAGGTACCAATGTTTTATTAGACCAAAGGTTAATTTTTCGCCGGAGTTCTCCTTAAACTGTTTTAATCACTATTTTTACCGTTTTTGTTTTAATTTCCAAGTGAATTGGAACCCAACCCCATTTTAGAAACCATGATAGGAACAGAAATTAACCAAATGTAGACGTGCAGCTGCAAGTTGCATTGTGTGTGTGTGTGTGTGTGTGTGTGTGTGTGTGTGTCTGTGTCCCTTCTTTTACTTCCAGATGTTGTTCTCTCTTCTGTAGTTACCGATCCTCAGCTCTCCAGCATTTTTGCCCATGACCTTCTGGGTAATTGAGCAGAAGTATTGATGTAACAGCAGGGTCTGATTGTGATTTATTAAACACACTCTGAGACTGTGCCAGCGTCACCATGCGCCCATCGCATGCTATTACAAAAGTCATCAATAGCCAAGCTACATAAAGGCTAGTAATGGGGAGAGAGCCAAGAGAGAGAACAGAGCACTCTGCCATTATATGACTACAGAATACTGAGCGTGCGAGAGAGAGAGAGAGAGAGAGAGAGAGAGAGAGAGAGAGAGAGAGAGAGAGAGAGAGAGAGAGAGAGAGAGAGAGAGAGAGAGAGAGAGAGAGAGAGAGAGAGAGAGAGAGTGTGTAAGAGAGAGCATGGAATCTCAGTACAACAAACTGCAGACAGGTCTCCAAATCTCCAGAGAACACATTTTGTTAAGAACAAAAAGGACAAAGAAAGAAAGAAAGAAAGAAAGAAAGAAAGAAAGAAAAAAAGAAAGAAAGAAAGAAAGAAAGAAAGAAAGAAAGAAAGAAAGAAAGAAAGAAAGAAAATTTACCAAGCCAATGAGCTTCTTAGACAGCAAACTGAATTAGAGAAAACCAGTGCACTTCGACATCATTAACGTATATTTCTGTGTTTACAGAAATAAATATGGCTCCTTATGTTTCCTTCAGTAATGGCCAGGTAAAATACGCTGGCTTTCATCCCATTCCAACAGCAATGCATCATATGCAGAAACTGAAGCAATAAGACATAACCCAGGCTCAGAACCATGACTGTAGGACTCCATTAGAGCCCATAATGGGCGGAAACATAGCTTTAGCCTATCATGAGAGTGGTAAATACTACAAGGTCTAATGATTATGGATGGTTTGGTGTGGGGTACAGTAGGATACAGGTATACTATAAAACAGGAAATGGACTAAAAAAAAATGGAAAGAAAGACGACACGCCCATCACTAGACAGACCAAAGTCTGTTTAATGACTTTTTGGTGCATGCACAAAAAAAAAAAAAAGATGTATAACGATATATTGACAATAACCATGATACCTTAACACTGTTTGATACCCATTATTAAACGAGAAAAGTAGTAGTAAGTTGTTTTTTGGATTCCGTAAAAAAGTTCTGTAAAAATGCATGAATAGCAAATTAACAGCACGTTCTTTTTGTGAGCTTCTGTATCGTTATGTTCTGCTTTCCTACAGTCAATTTGAGTGTGATTTATTGGCCAAAAAGAGGCAAGAAAAAATAAACAAAATTAAAGATGACTATGTCTGATAGCATTTTTATTAATTTATTACAATTTTCTATAGATATCATAATAATATCATTAGTGTGAACTCTTTTGACATTCCATGATAATTGCATAGTGAAAATCTGATGTAGCAGTTCAGCCCTAGCGCTGACTGAAATCAGCAGTTCCAATCTGATTAGTTGGCTTTACTCCAAGTTCCAATAAGGAAGTCAGTCCGGTTGGAAAGTCATGTTAATCAGTGTGATATAATTATGCTTTTGAGGAAAAACTAAATCACTAGGTCATTGGTGGTCTACATTGGTAATCTATCAGATAATCCCACCCGAAACAGCAGTTAAAAACTGTTTGTCAAAAGTCAAAAAGTCCATAATAAGTTGCAATGACTTGCAACTAAAAGTCAAGCTAGAAAAAAAAATCTAGTTTCATACACTTCTGTAGAATTACAAGTGTAATTTTGAGACAATGAAGAGTAAGGTTGGGAATAAATATACATATAATAAAGTGTGGGAAGTTTAAACAGTGTTAAACACAGAAAGCCATGTCTCAGACAGTGTGAATACTCCTCTGTCTACTCTCATGTAATTTTCAGTTAGAACACACATTTCACACAGTTGGATTTTGAATCGCAGACAGGTCCAGATATTTAGCATGCCAAATATCTCAGAGGTGTCGGCGACGTATCATTGATTCTCTCAGATTGTGTCTTTGATAGTGTACACTGCACGATTGTCACTCGCGTGAACAAGCACTGATTTGCCTCCGATTTCGGGTTTTGTCTGTGATTTTGCAAAATCTGTCGGTGAGTGAAAATCAGGGCTAAAATCGTGCAGCATGAACATAGCATTAAGTGAATATAAACTAAACAGTCAGGAAAGAAAACTCATGTGTACTGAGCATCAGTATATTGGATCCGTGCATTATTCTTAAAGTGACAGCGTCCTAATATTCCTGCTGTTGTTTGTTAATTTTTAAATTTTGGTGTCATGACTTTCATGGTCAGTAAAACTTGTGGCAAAAAGATAGTTTAAGCCTTTTATATACAGTATATTCACAACTTTAGTCTTCTTTATCTCAAAAATTAAAGGTACAATGTGTAAGATTGTTTTGCCACCAGGGGTCGCCAACCTCTTACAATAACAAAGGCGTATATTAATGACGTGTATTCCGTATTAAGCGGAATTATGGATCTTGTCGTCAAGCTGATGGATCTTTTATGGATGAGTGAATACATTGATGTTTTTAACATGGCTGTAGTATGAAGCAGGGCGCGATTGCTAGACGTATACCAGTGCCAAACGCAATGCGAGTCCCGCGGATATAAAGGAATAAGGACATTTAATTCTACCAAATTGCACGCTTGTTACGTTCCACATGTATTTTTTTTTTTTTTTGTGTTTTTGTTCTGTCTCCATTCATTGATTTCAGGTGGTGACCGAACATTGGCTGTTTGCGGGTACATGACGTGATTGAGGGCGGCGTCACCATCTGCGCAACCAATCTACTGCTCTGCTGTGGCTTTAAAAGGCCCATTCATAAATATGAAGTGAGATCCTCGCCAGATCTCAACCAACTTGCGTGTTCTGAGCACATTGTCGAAACGTTATCACGATTTACGCTATGTCTTTATGATTGATAATTGAGTAAATGCTTTTGCCTGACCTGAGTTTTGATAAGACATTGAGAGATGCCTAGCCGATCTGATTACATCTTAAGCATTATGCTCTCTGTTGCGAAATCATAGAACGGGAGGTAGGAATCATTGTGTGTTAGTTATGCGTGGTAATATACTGATAAATTTTCCTTTTGTGGCAGTTAGTTTAGCGGGTATTCATAAAATTAGATATCAGTTATGTTTTGCTTATTTCATTAATTTGACGACACTCTTGTTTTTCCTAATTTCTTTTCTCTCTCGTGTATTTTATTTATTTTTCTTCTAACGAATTTGTTATCTAATTTAAGTGAACATGTTTAATTCATTCATTCAGGAGAATAAACGTTTTCCTTAACATTTAAATGATGTTTTCTGGTTGTCTTCCCTGCATCCACACACAGCAACAGTGTCTCACATAAATGTTATGTAATCATCCCCTTTGACATCTTTAAACACGCAACAACGCTGAATTACTCACACAGGTCAGTTTATTAGAGGAATTAAACTTGAGGTAACGCAGCACAGTTTCACTTGCTCTAACAGTTTCACTATAACACTAAACGGCATTTGAGTGTGTTGAACGTTGTTAGTTAACTTAGGTTGTTTGTTGGCTGTATGAGACTAAGCTAGATTAACATTAGAGAATAACATACAGAGATATTCTAACATTTCATCATGTTGAACTAAATAACATTAATTTGCTCAAGTAACATGGAACACTCGCATCTCTGTCAAGTCGAAGTTAGCCGCGGACGCGGAGCTCTCGGCATCTCGAAAGGTGTTGATCTTCATTTTAGTCCTCTTTTTGTCTCAAAGTCTACTTGCTATGGTGCATAATGTTTGAACAAAACCCTGCTAGGGACGCTCACGCTGTTGAGCACGCATAGCGGGCATAACCGACCCGGTTGTCCACGTCTGTCGCCATGGTTACTGTTGGAGTACGAGGTCAAACCAGGGGGAAACTGGGGGTAACACGGATATGACGTCATTGACTGGTGACTCCTCATTTCCTTGGTTAAAAAACGCAATTTTCTCACGATTTACAAATAGTTGGAAACATTTGGGATATTGTAAGTAATCAACTAAGCAAAATATATAACACTGGCCTAGTGGTTTTTGGATATTTTACTGCAAAAATCCAGCATATTGTACCTTTAAGTAAACGCTATAGTGTCATCAAAGCTGTTAGAAGATAATTTGGTTCATCAAAGTTAAATGATTGAAATTGTACCTGAAAGCAGAGCATCCCCAAGCACCGTGCTTGTCTGTGAGGATGTTTACAATCTTCTGTATGAGCTGGGTGGACGTGACGTGATCCCGGTACTTGGCGGCCCTGATCAGGTGATCGCACATCTTCTCCTCATCACGTTTTTCAGCGGCATACTGAGCACATTGAGACTGCAGAGAGACGAAAACAGCACATATGTGAGTAATCACGCTCTTCTATGCATTGATTCTTTTTATCAATGAACATAATAAACCTTTAAATTAAATGATGCATCCTTCTTTAAAAGCTACATAATAAATATAACATGCGAAAAGTTACTTGGAGGCACAATTGTACTCCTGTGCAAAATTTACCTGAGAAGAATAGTGTCCATCTGACCGGGTGTAGAAAACAAAGCGGACTACATCATTAGAGTGTGTGAACGTGTGTGTGTGTGTGTGTGCGAGGTAACTCCATACACACAGGAAACAAATGGAACTCTGGGTCATTTCCAGCCGTTGTCACAGTGATTAATAACACTGGACATGTATTTGCTAATGCCTTTGGGCTACGCTAAAAAATGTAGAAACTACCCATAATGCACAAGGAGACATTTTTCTTTGTCAGAATTTGTTATCAGAAAACCCTTTGAACTCACATGCAATCCTTAAACAAAGCACCTCACACTGTAAATATCAAGTTGATAAAACTTAAATTGTGTTTTCTCTCTTACGACCAAAGTAGAAGAGTAAATGAACACTCTAAAAAATGCTGGGTTGTTTGAACCCAATTTTGGGTAAAATATGGACAAACCCAGCCATTGGGTTAAAAATGTAATTTAAAAATGTAACCCAATGGCTGGGTTTGTCCATATTTTACCCAAAATTGGGTTCAAACAACCCAGCATTTTTTAGAGTGAATAAGCCGTCCTTTGTGAAAACCAATGTCCCAATCGGAATCAATAAATCACGAGATCAGCAACAAAGCTGGTGAGATGCTCGTACAAATTCAACCCAGAATAAACAAAAACAGCCCACAAAGCACAAAACAACACGGCTATATTTTTTCCTGATTCTGATGCAACGTCTAGCAAACAGCAATCAAGCGGAAAGGTTACAGCACCCACTAGAGCTTGTTTTAATGCAATTCCCTTAGCTTCATCCATTGCGTGTTATGGCCCTAAATTAAATTAGCTTTGGACAGCACCCATCTCAGACAACAAATACAGTAAAGGCAGCGGTCTGGTGTGGCAGCGGCGGCAGACGCAGAAGCCTGCCTCGGCAAAGTTAGCGGTAAACGCTCCAAAGTGCCTTCTAATGGGCCCTCCTCTCCAATTTGAGCATCGACTCTTCATGTATGACAGAAAATCCATAGAGATAAATCACATTAGGGAGGCTTCCCTCTCCTAATTATCAATCTGTGTCTCATTTCGCTGTTCTTAACTCCGCAGTGACCTTAAAGCCATGAGAAGAGGATGGCGGTATAAAAGAGAGATAAAAGGTAAAGGGTGAATGTTTAAATGTGAACCTATTTGGATGTCTGGCGTAACAAAAGAGCGTGAATAACAGAAAGGAAAGAAAGACAGCGATTTGTCTCTGTTCAGCGTAGAAGGTCACGTCTGGGGAAGAAAGGGAGAATTCTAGACGGTTACATTCGTTTTGATGAAAGAATGGAGTAAAAAATAAGAATAAGAGTGCTGTTTTGAACACTATATTAAGTGCACAGAGAACTCTTTTAAATTGTAATATTATATTATAATATTATTTTTATGAGACATTCTTAAATTGAATCTCTGAAGCACGTGCGTAATTTGCAGTATTAATCGGAATTTTGATCTAAATGTGCTTTCTGACCCTTATCAGAATAGTTTCAGAGACAAAAAGAGCAATCATCCATATTTTTTCGGTGTTCCCTTCAACTAGTGATTAACACATTATTAATTAGCTGTCATGCGTTCAAACACTTTGGCATAAACAGGCACTTTATCAACTAGTGTCAACGGCACCAAATCCCTGAGCTCCATAATGGGCTTTGTAATTTTCATGAACTTCCTGACAAATGGTTTCCTTGCAGCTGAAATTACAGGCTGAATTATAGGAAACATTCAGGTGAAATACATAGCGATGACATTATCATCACGTTTGGGGCTGTAATTCTGTAGTGACATCATAAGGCTTTGGAAACCCTACAAGGTGAACTTAATTCAAAGGGTCTTGCACATGTTTGGCACTCCACTGAAGGGGGAACCACAATCTCCAGTCACAGCGCAGTTGAAGTACAAACCATAGCGGCAGAAACCAAACCGTGTAAGTAATGTGTTTATGACTTCAGACAGAGTAATAATCCACATCTCCAAATGTTCTGTGTTCTGGAGAACTGAATCGGACAGGGTCAGCACTCATTTCCTTCAATGGACTACAATCACGACATACCTCCATTAGAGCCATATTATTACAAAGAAAAAAACGGTGCCGTCTACAATGGTCTCAAACTATTTAGTCAGCATTACAATAAAGGTCCAAACAAATGCATACATGTGTAACAAAAGTAAGCCAATGATTATATAATAAAATCATATATAATATTATAAAATATTTAAATGTATTTATTCCAAATACATAAAAAAAAATATATTTTTTTTTTTATTATTAAAAAATATATAATTAAATGTATAGTTTGGGTTTTTTTTTTCTGATCTGTGTGATTTTTTTATAGTTTTTTTTTTTTAATATTAAATACTTTAAATAGTTTTTTTTTTAAATATTTAAATACTTTTTTTTTTTTTTTTTTTAAATATTATTAAATCAATCCTGGTCATGACATTTAACAAAAATAGTCATTTAAGTTTACTTGTATGTTACATTTTAAATTATAACCGTAGGTATAATCGAGGAATCTCAACTTTTCATGTCTTCTGAGAAAAGCTAATTGGTTTCTGAAATCTTCTGAATGTGTGTGATGCTGCATCTATGGCAATGAGGGACGGTATAAAGTCCAGGCCTGTTGTGGAACAAAAATCACTCTTAAATAATCTCTTCTATTCAGAATTTATAGCTAACCAAAGCAGCATGAAATAATGACGACTTCGCTATTTGCCAGTGTAAGCAGATCCCAGCATTTCTCTGTAACAACATGTGTACAATCATGGGCGGCAGACTTATCCTCTTCTCCCTAAACAGGGTAGCAAGGTTAAACAAAATAATCATCATCTGCCAGGGACCAGAACTCATTATGTTCCATCAGCCCTTGTGTATGTGAATTAGTTAGTGTGACACAACATGGCCAGACGCGCATGTAAGTCCATTACATTCACCGTGAAGGGTTTGCGGTGTTCTTCGAGAGCGAGCCTAAGCAGTGAAAACAGTGGGGATCTTGTTAAACTGCTTGATTTGCACTCTGTTGACAGTGAAGTACACAGCACCGTGGCTATCATCTTTCTCTCCGCGCCAGTCCCTCCCTCAGGGTTTCATTTACACCAGGAAACTGTCCTACTGATGCCTCTGTCCTTGCAGCATCTGAGGGAATGCAAATATAGCGCGGAGGATATGCACGCATCGTTCAGAGAAACAAAATGAAAAATGAAGAAAAAAAAAGTGCGTATACCATGTCATTCGGCCAATCGAATCCAAGATTTTCATTGCACTTGATCTTTTGCCCCACTTTCTTTCAGAATTTAAAGTCACCACTTAAAAATTGCAGCCAGGGGAATTCAGACAAAAGCAAGGCAGGAAAGCAAAAAGTGACAACCAAGAAAAATGAAGGCTTAAAAGTACAATAGCGAACAAAAGTCACAGAATGACAAAGGCTGACGGGCACTTCAATTCCGGAGCGATACTGCTGTCAGCCAACGCCTCTCTGTATTGATTTCTCCCCATCCCTTGTTCCCTCGGCGATAGATGGAGCAGGAATCTAGTGTGAAGCAACTATAGAGAGAGAGAGAACAAATGTTGCCACCACCACCCCCTCCTTTTCCAGAGTCAGGGTGACCATCAAGGTTAACACAGGTGCAACAACTTATCAAAGTATCTCTGGCTTCTCTCTTCCCCTTTTCTCCTTCCTTCATTTCGTGCTTTTAATGGACTAGTCACAATGCGTAGATGGCAGATTCTTCATCTTTCCTCCCACCCCCTCTCTCTCTAAAAAAAAAAAAATAGCATTTCTTTAGTTCCATTACTCTACACGGGCCACGGGCAGCTGACTCCTGCAACTTCAAGGTCACGCCGTGTGAGAAATTGTAGGAATTAACTGTCCTTTTGAGGTGAAAAATAATCAAATGAAGGAGATGTGCGGCGAGTGAAAAATGAACACGTCTGCTGGCAGTCGGGGAGGAGCAGGTGTGGATGAATGTGAAAACAGGATAATGTTTTTACTTCTTGTAAATAAAGGAAATGTATAAAGGAAAAACAGACTATAAAATGGAGTGCCACTGTTGGGGAGGTGATAACAGGTCAAATAAACAGTTTGAAATTATATTTTCACAAGCATGAAAACATAAAAATACATTAATATTACTAGTGAGATTTGGGATTTTGCTCATACAATAATAATGCGTTTAAATAAAGGCAACAAATGAATTATTGTGCTCATGCAAGTAAAACCTATGATATTCACTGTGTTAAATAATGTTCTTGGGGGTGAGGGTTTACGTTGAATTAAATGCCAGATACAGCTTCTTGTGTAACCAAAACACCAATAATATCAATGAGAAAATACTTTTAGAATTCATAATATGGGACTTTTAATTATAAACAAGTCTGAAATAGACAGTAACTCTTATTTTGAAATGTCTTTACTACTTCCAGTTGCTAATTCAAACAGATAAGGGAGATAGAATACACACCCTTATTATAACGCAACATTACAAAATATACAATTGTCACAACTCATTAACAGCAGATCATAAGCAATTACTTGGAATAAGTGTGCAGTATTCATTGATTGAGAACAATCCAAAACTGTGAGCCTGCGAACTGTGAACACTAGGCGTGTAACGGTTCACAAAATTCACGGTTCGGTTCGGTACGGTTCCGATACAGCAAAAAGAAAGATATGGCAGAGAAATGTCGTTGATTTAATTGTTTTTTTACATATTTTTATTAAAATTAACATCATAAACTATGATATTTTTTTAACTTTGAGCTATGATGGAGCTATACTTGACTTTTCTTAGGAGCTTATAAAACAAAACAGC